AAAGTCAATCCCAGAGCATCATCAGTGATAAGTCTCAGTGAGAGGAGTTAACCTTGACACGATGTGATGAGAATGGCATTTGTTTCTGTGGTTTTCCTTCCCCAAGACCATAAACCCAGTCTAGTCATGAAAAGAGATGAGACAGTCCCACATTGAAGGACATTCTGCAAAATATGACCATCATTCCTCTAAACTGTCAAGGTCATCAAAACAAGGAGACTCAGGAAACTGTCACAGCACAGACAAGCCTACAGGGGCACCGTGACTAGATGTGCTATCATGTCCTAGATGCGATGGAACAGGAAAAAGACATTAGATAAAAACTAAGGAAATTATAGACTAAAGTATATAATTAAGTATATAGACTTAATTATATAAAATACAGACTTCAGTTAATAATAATGTATCAATACTGGTTCATTAGTTGTGAGGAATGTAAGATATTAATAATAGGGAAAATGAGTGTGAAATACATGGGAATTCTATACTATCTTTGCAACTTTACTCTAAATTTAAAACTATCCTGGGAGTCAGAAAACAAGGCTTATGCAATGAGAACCAGGGGGACCCAGGAGAGAGAAGGTCAGGCTGGGTCAATCCAAGTCCTTACTGGGGCTGTTTCTGGAGCTCTTGGCAAAAAATTCTCTTTTTATTTGGGATCAAATAATCTTGGGGCTGCTGATGGTCAATTTTTATTCTAAAATAAAAATTTTATTAAAAAAAAATCAATCCTGGGAGTCATGTTAGCATTAGTCAGTGAAGTGAGGTATGGAGTTACATTAGCAGCTAGAATCTCTGATATTTGTGAGGACAGTGCAATGGTAGGCAAAGGGTTGTCATAGCAGCCAAGTCTGAAACAAGCAAAAAAAAGTAAACTATAGTCATTTATATCGGCTGACTAGACCTTCAGGCCCAAAATCTTTAATAGCCAGGGATAGGCAGGTAGGGGCCAGGGAAATGTTCTCACCTGTATTAAAGTCTTTTGTAGAGAAGATATTCAACATTTAATTTTGGAAGAATAGGACAGAGAAAAGAGGGTTAGACAGAAGTCAAGGGCCTTGAATACAAAAGAGATAACCTCCTAGATGGCCAGATTGCTTATAAGGCAGAATGTATAATCAAGGAAGTGTTAGAATCTCTAAACCTGGAGACTCTTTTCAGAATCCAAGACAGAGAGGAGGCCCCTGAGGAAGCAGTGCAGACGAAATGAGCCCTGGAGCCCCTTCCTATAGTCTATTTTTAACAGCAACACATCCTTAAAACAAAAGGGTGAAATACAAAAGCAAGTCATTAGTGCTCAAATTGAATACATCTAACAATTTTTATGTAGGTCACATTTTCCTGAGGATTTTCTCCACCATAACAGTTCATCTCAGAGCCTTTCTTTAGAATTCTTACAAACACCAGGTACCACAATGGACAGATACCACGATGTGCCTTTACTACAAGGTTGAAGTTGTGATCTAAGTGGGAAAACACACACATATAAACCTAGATCCTGAATGCCCAACTCAATATGAGCCTGTTCAACCTCCTTGCACCAAAAGCATGTTGGTTACAGCAGATCCTGAACATACAGGAATTCTAGAAGAGGGTGTGGGAGACGGAGACTAAGTAGGGGATGGGTAGAGGAGTCAGAAAACAAGGTACGTGCAAGGAGAACCAGAGGGACCCAGGAGAGAGGGTCAGGCTGGGTCAATCCAGGTCCTCCCTGGGACTTTGGGCAAAAATGCTCCTTTCATTTGGGATCAAGTAATCTTGGGGCTGCTGATGTTTGCGGATGTTGCCATTTGGAAAGAACTCGCCTGAGATGGAAAGCAATAGAGAGAAAATAGGAAATGCTGGAGAGGGGGAGCAAGAGTGAGCAGGTGTGTAAACATATCTGTGACATGATGCTATTTTGTGAGCCTCTGGATCCATTCATACCTGAAGCCTTCTGCTGTACCAGTTGTATGAACCCATGCATTCTCTTGCCTTCAACTGGTCTGTGACTTTCATGGAAAGAATCATAAGTAGAACAGGCTTAAGGAAGATTGAGAGGGGAGGGGCACCAAATGAAATGGAGCAGGAGCCATGGACTGAGGTAGGACAAAAGTAAGAGCAGTACCTTTGGTGCAGTCAGAATCTACATGAGGTGAGAGGACCCTTTTAGGTATAAAGAAGACAGAGGGACCTTTGGGCAAATACTAAGAGAGATGGAAAAATTATCTAAGAAAAAACGGTCACCCCGATCTCCTGGATGAATGGACAGCCATGCTCTGCCCCTAAATGCAACACTTCAGGGTGACACACGTTTCGGGTGGATGAGAATCCTGCTACACTATGTGAAGAGACATTCTACTACGAAAAGAATTTTCTGCCCACTTCCTCCACTCCATTACATGAGTAGTTTCTTAATGATAATAAAGCACGGCATTTACCACACCAAATAGTTAATAGGATGCAGAACAAAAACTGAACCTGTAAACTTCTTGCCTTGATTTCTTCCCATCCTGAGCACCCATGAGTGCTAGACAAAAGCTAGCATTTTGTTCCTGCTACTTAGTCTCCAGACTTGGAACAACTCTTGTTGAGGTAATCAGGTTCGCTTTTCAAAATAATAACCAAGAGCTGTTCCTTATTCCCTTTCTAGAGTCACATTGACATGGAGCAATTAGAGTAACCCATTATAGAGAACTCCCTGCTTTGTTCAATTTATAGACATCAATGGACACCTCTCCTGGGAATTCAAAGAACAGACTTGTGTGGGCGAGCTAGGCTTGCTGGTGGCAGAATAAAACACATTTGCTCACTGCATTGTTTTAACAAAGACAACGTAAGTAGTGATTACAGTTCACTGGGGTTTTGCACTAATCCTCAAAACGCTGACAGTTATTTAAGTCACTCACTGGGTGGAATGATCATCTTGAGAGGAACAGAGAGGGTACCATTTATATTATAGAATGGAGTGAGCACATGAGACAAAGCATCAGTAGGTGTGGTAGAAGAGATCTTTGTCAGAATAAGAGATGATTACATTTAGGAAGTAGACAGCAACTGTACTGAGTACTCGTGGTGACATGAACAACAGCTCAACTGTGCCATTACAGAGGTGAGCATAATTCTGGGAGCTTCTCTCTCTTTCCAAAACAGTCGATGCAGGTTGGCCTGAGTATATCACTCAAAGGCTTGATAGAAATTGGAACTATTGTGCCTTGTGGAGCCTTTTTAGAATGGACAGAACAGAAATCTGGAATGCCATGCCACTAGAAATAAGATACTGTATTATTAAATACTAGAGGCCCAGTGCACAAATTCGTGCATGGGTGGGGTCTGGCTGGCCTGGTCCCAGTTGGGCTAGGCCGGTGTGGGGGAGGGGCCGCAGGTGGTTGTCCCTGCCCCTGGTCGAACTCCTGGTAGAAGGGACAATTTGCATATTAGCCTTTTATTATATAGGATTAGACACTGAAAGGCCACCAATGATCACTAATACAACTACCCATGCAGTCCTATATTCACAAGCAGCAAAGAAATCAGCAAAACAGGCATCTGGTCCCTTTTCAGGGCTGTTTATTTTGCAATTAGCAAAAGGGAAGTAAGCTATATTTGATTTTTTATTTTTATTTTGGTAAAGTGGAGTGGCACCGGGAGATAAAATGGATAATTTAGGCTATTGCTTGTGACAGATTGCCTGATACAAAAAGATTATAAAGTTGAGGGTCTTTCAATGAGACCTACTTATCTGAGTCTGCTCAGATCCAATACTGTGCCCAACTTATCCTTAATAGGTGCATATATTTTTTCCTATTTTTATAGGTTCTGGGAACAAATACGTATAATTTTTATCAGCAGATAAGAAGTAATATTTTAAATAATAAAAAGTAAAAGTACAAATAAGAAGTCATATTTTAAGGTTTCTAAAATAGAGTCTATGATCTCACTCAGAGCCCCTCCTCTGCTGGCCTTCAGGAGAGAGGCTCAGTCAGCACGAGACCCGAGGCCGTGTGCATTCCAGGGCCGGACTCTGCCCCTGGGGCCTGGATTTTGAATAATTTAGCCCGTGAATTTCCTCTATACCTCTTCCATCTCTAAGCTGGAAATGCTTGTTAATCAATAATAACGTCAAAAGACAATGGTAATAAACCACTTCCCCTGAAGTTCACATTCCAAATGATGTGTTTTCCTAGCAATACCCTTCGAATGGTTAACTCTGGTACTAAGTTCAGGGCAGATTCTGTTTATTTCATGTTTTTGCTGTTATTTTCCTTTTTTCTACCCTGTTTCTGTCTCTCTGTTTATGCATTCAAATCTGCCATTTCCTGTATTCCTTCTTCATGTTTGCTTTGCCTCTATTATAACTGCCTACCACATGCTTCTGAATGAATGCCTTTAAGATGTACTTATTTTATAGTTATTAAATAATGTCTATGTGCCCTAAAGTTTTCAAATTATTTTTCTCTGAGTCATTGGTTCTTGATAAAAAAAAAGAAGTTTCACATTTTTATTTCATACCCTATTACTTAATTTTCTTGAAATCTATAATTAAGTTGTCTCTTAACCATCCCTTTTCCAGAATAATTGTTTTTCTCATATTCTCTATTTTCAAGCACCTTAATCACTTCTAAATATACTCTTCTTAGACATTTTTTCATTAACTTGTATCAGTTAAAATAAAAAACATCAGCTGTGTGCTCAGCGCTGAGTTTTGAGATAAGTTCCTTCCCTTGGGAAGTTGTGAGGGGGACTGGCTTTTGTTCTTGAGACGATCATGGTTCAATCTTCCACTATTTTGTTTCTAAGGTTTAATATCAAGCACTGTTAACATGGACCATTTTTGGCTTCCCACGCCCCACACAGGGAAGTGAGATTACTTCCTTTTGCAGAACCACCAAGTGCAGAGGCTCAGCTGAGCTGGATTCAGGCACAGGCCTTCTGACAACCTGGGCACGTCCCATAGGGTGACACGTTCCCGATGAGAGTACTCAGTCCAGTTCCTCAGCCGTCCCCCACCAGTTACTTACTCTGGGATGTGGAAAGATTGGAGAAGGCTGACTTTGTTCGGCCTGCTAACCATTCCAGGCTCTCGTGCATGTTGGCCAAAGCTTTGAGGTCACTGACGTCACGCAGGATGTCTTGTGGAGGGATTAATTTATCACCCAGGTTCCCAATAAGAACTTCTGACTCCTTGCCAAAGGCTGCCCTGCAAAGCAAACCAGAGACATTTCACATACAGCACGGCAAAGACTGGGGTGGGCAATACTTTTTTAAGACATGCCCAGCATGAGGTTGTTATAATCACTGTTATTACGGCATGCTACTTTTCCTAGGTTTAATTTTATGAGGATACTATCGTATACCTGCTTAAAATTACTCTGATCCGAGAAAGAGAGCTCTTGGAAGAAGAAGCAAATGACCTGATGCTTGTACCTTCAGCAGCAACCGGTGTGGGCCTGACCTACACAGGGATGGTCCTAGAGATGCTCGAATGCCTGCTCTCTTCCGGGATTCCCCTTACCTCTTCTCCCGCTGTGCAAATTGCTGATGGTGTTAAATATATACATTGTTTGAAGGTTTTTGAAGTAAATAAAACTACTAAGTTAATCTGGCAGCTAGAAAATGTTCTGAAATGTTCAAAAGCAAAGGGGCCCAGCCTCTTTAAGGAGATTATAGTTGGGAAGGAAGGCAGGCCTCATTCATTCATTCATTCATTCATTTACTCATTTACTTATTCTAAAAAGGCTCTGGGCACATAAACGAGGAGGCATTTAGGCACTCATCATTTGGAAAGAAAACCCAGTAAAAATCAATGCCGGGATCCTCTTACTGACTGGAAGAAAACACAGTCAGGTGGATTTCACACAGAGCCCAGCGTCTTCATAATGTTTTTGGAGGGTTGAAAATCATGCTACATGGATGGGGTCGCAGAGGATGAGCTGGAAGGGACCCCAGAGACCGCATGGCACAGCCACAGCACAGATGAAGAAAGGAAGGCGCCGAAGGTTAACTACTTTGCCTGCAGGACACATAGTGGCAGGGCTGGGACTCACGCTGTCCAATTCCCACAGCTCTCTTTCTTTAAAAAAGAGAGGATGGAAATGCTAAAAGATGAAGGAAGATGTTAGGGAGAAAATTCCCATCTTTTCAGGATGTACCTACAGGTGGGCAAGCAGAGCTCATGGCGGAAGCTGGAACAGGCACCTGGAGTTTCCCATGGAAGCCTCCCCACAGCTTTTAAAACTCAAGATACCTTCCGTGAGCAGCAGCTCTACTTTATACGCAGAACAAACTAAATTAAGTTTCAAGTGAGCAGCGTTAATAAGAGCTGACATATATGTTCAGAGTGATGCTTAATGACACACAACATTTGGTGCCCAGCACTATAGCAGACACCCAACGTTGGCAGAAAGAGCTGCTGTGGATTAAATGCCTATTAAAAGTATGCAGCTGAAGTGGTGGTTCATGATTGGGCTTATTTCAACAGGAGAAAAAGTCAGAATTGATGGAGTTGGGTGAGTCATGTGGACAGACCACAGAAACGCGAGTGCACTTGGGGGTCTTGTACCAGATCCTGGGGTGGGACCTGAAAGTCTGTCTTTCAAAAGTTTCAGGCTGCTGGCCTGGAAGCATGCTTCCTGAGTGGTAAGGGTTGGAGCACAGACTTTAAAGTCAGGTAGACTGGTCTGAATCCTGCAGGCACCTCTTCCTTGCTGTATTATTGGCTAGGGTGATGGCGGTGACCTCCTACGAAGCATTTTAAGAGTAGATGAGGTGACATTTAAAATCTTTATTGGGAAAATTTCAATAATTACAGAACTAGAGAGAATAGCGTAGTAAACTCCCAGGCAGCCACTGCTCAGCTTCAATTATTAGCAACTCACAGAGAGTCTCTTTCATCTGTCCTTATCCAGAATTTAAAAAAATATTTTATTGATTGATTTTTAGAGAGAGAGAGGAAGAGGGAGGGGAGCAAAGAAGGGGGAGAGGAAAGAAGGGAAAGGAGGGTGGTGGGGGGGAGAGATTTGTTGTTTCACTTATTTATGCATTCACTGGTTGCTTCTTGTATGTGCCCTGACTGGAGATCGAACCTGCAACCTTAGCATATTGGGATGACACTCTAACCACCTGGGCCACCCCAGCTAGGAGATGCCTTATCCACAATTTTGAAGCAAATCATCCAGCTGATATTCTTTGGTGCCTAACACAGTTCAGGGAAAGCTAACAAATGGTAGCTATTATTATCCTTAGGTCTGTTGAGGTGGTTGGTTTACTTAGTGTCAACCTGGGGTCTGCTGTGATGAATAAATTAAAATAGATAAGAGAGATCAGAATAAGTTGGATCTCAAGGGCTAGTTTTACAAACGGAACCTTGCAACATCGGAGCAAATGCCGCTGTGTTCCAGAGGCCAGACTTTTCTCAAAACCTTCAAGAGGTAAATCATTGCGGCAGAAGCCACGGGTGGGCTCTGCGGTATCCGTTATCCCACGCCTGCTCGGTAAAAGGGCCCTGGCATTGTTGCAGTCGGCATGTACCCAATCTAAAAACAAAATTAAAAAACACACAAGGCGAAACCCCATTCAATTTCCCAGCCCCTCCTGCTGATGTGGCGGTCAATGAAATAACAGCTGAAGTCGTAGACAGGTTTCCAAGAAACATCTCTCAAGCATCATGGTTGGCAAGGACCTCTTTTGTGCCCTCCCCTGCCCCTTACTGGACGCAGCCCTGGCATCAGGTGCCCTTGAACATGAAAATAATGCCGAGAATAATGGAGCCAAAGACAGGACGGCTTGGAGGCACCGATGACATCATGGAGCTGCAATGCAGCCCCAGATAATGCACTTCTAGGCTTAGTTCGTTTTATAGGAGAGAAAGTGGAACCTAATTTGTTTAAGCCATTGCTATTCCAAGCTTCTGCTACTAGCCGCTAAATGTAATTTCCACTGACACCATTATCTAATTAGCATAAGTGATGTCATTCTTGGAAAACTTCCTCTAAATTAGATATCTCTGAAATCGAGTTACTGCGAAAGCAAGACAATGTCTCTTCCATGATCTGAGCCCAGCAGACAGTACAATATCTCCCCGTTGGCTGTCACGCAGTCAAGTTGTAAATATGTAGTTTGCTTAATCTGTCCTTATATATCCACTCTCCCAGCCCCTTAATCATCTTAGATAGATATAACAAATAGTGCCTCTGAGCTTGGTGGTTAAAGCAGCAGGGGAGGCAGACAGCTTTGGAAACCCGCTTGGAGCCATCTTTATGCATGGAGGTGTGACCCTGGGGGGAATGTGACAATCAAGACAAATGCATTTATGTCGAAGTCGAATCTGCTGTGTGGGATCTGAGGCCTGGGCATGTCTGCGGTCTGCCTCCGAGGCCAGATGCCGAGCCCACTCCCCTCCGGCTCCCTGAGATCGGCTTAACCTGCTCCGAGGGGAGCTCGGTGGACCGAGAGAAACACACACTGCCTCGCGCTGCACACATCGCAGACATCTCATTTGACAGGAATCCATAATCACCCCCTAACAACCTGGAGAGGGCCCCGCAACCATGACATCCAGAATAAATGATTGACAGCTATAACCATTTCACACAGAAAGTCATTCCTTCGAGGATTTGTGTGTCAAAGAGCTTGGTGGACGGTCTTTGTGTGTTATAAAAACCTTCAGGGGACGGCTTTAGCTGCAAAACATGGACTTTTTTTCTAAACCGTCTAATGTATTAGTAAACTATGGTATAGTCACAGTATGGAAAAGTGTTCAGTCATCAGAGATTATATAGTAGAAAATACTTGATAGCATAGAAAAATGTTGCATATAGTTTATTTTTAACCATGATATGCAGTTGAGTAAAACAAGCTGTTATAAAACTGAATGCACCAATACTATGCAAAAAAGAGTAACTATAGATTTTTATGAACTGAAAAAGGCTGAATATCTATACACCAACATGTTAACTGTGTGACCGGATTATTTTCCTTTGTGCTGCTCTGGATTTTCTACGTTTTCTCCAAAGAACATGTTTACTTTGTAATTAAAAACAAAAATTACAAACCCTACCGGGAATGAGAAAACCTTTCGGATGGACGCATGAATAATTTCCAGGGGAAATGGGAGGGGAGGGGGATTACAGTCACTTGAATGGAACTGGGAGTGATGGGTGCGGGCTGGGGGCTAGCTCAGGATGTGGTCAGTGTCCACCACAGAGGGTCACGCCGCCAGACTGACCACACCCAGCATCTGGGCCAATGCGGTTTCTTTCTAGATCTGAATCGTACGTACTCCTTATCACCTGCTTATTATGAAAGCGCAGTACTTAATGGAGATGTTACATGTTTTTGAGTGAAACTGGTAACAGAATGATCATTTTCTTGAGAAGTGAAGTGACAGGTGCTCCGTAATTGCCCAGTGATTACCTGACACGGCCAAGAAGAGAAATGTGCTTGCGGTGGGTACCCTGAGTCCCATGTGAGGAGTCACTGTCACCATCGTAGGCCAACATGCTCACAGAGGAGCCCAAGAAACTGAAGAAGGGTGTTCAACCTGTTAAGCTTAATTTCCCCACACAATTATCATCTTTAAAGAGCTTGATCTGACAAGACTTCATTTAAGAGAGTTTTGCGAGAGCGTGAAATCTGTGTAACTTAATTTTACCACACAATCATCATCGTTAAAGAGGTCTATCTGACAAGAATTCATGTAAGAGAATCTTGCCAAAGATGCCGAAAATTGTCTCCACTTAGTCTTTAAATAATTCTGTTATCCACTGAAATCTTAGGAAGGAAAAAAAGAAAATCTGCATTTCAGCAGGCTAAATGCACTTATGAGAGAAACACTGCAAATCGTTTCTGAGCGACTGATTTGCAGATCTGTGCTATATTTGGTCACATAATATGCACACTCAAGACTCAGTGCTCTCTCT